AAATAATTTAAATAAAACTCAATATAGTTTTAGAAAAATCCGCAGTAGTCGAACACGCTAAAAACAAAGGACATGACATCCAATTCGATAAAGTAAAAATACTAAACAAAGAAACTCATTTTAGCAAACGAATGTACAAAGAGGCAAAAGAAATCGAAAAATGTCCAGAGAAGACGGATGGAAAATAAGCAAAACTTGGTTACCCATCATACACCAGACAAAAAGAAAATCAACTAACAACACTGAAAACAGTTCATTACAAGGAAAAGTTACTGTAAACGTAATGGAAATCTGTCAGTGCAGAAAAGGAAGACCAAAATGCCAAGAATGTCAAAAACAACAACAATAATCAAAAACAAAGTCGTCAACAACATGAGCATAAACTGATATGATAAACAACCAACGTATAAAAACATACTGATAACAAGATAATCCGCCAGTATAGTTTCAACCACCGAGCAGTAACTATCGCTCCGAAGATGGACTCTGCAATGAGTCCGAAACGTCAGCAATCAACTGCAAACATGGATAAATCCTCAAGCTTTTCAAATAATGTGACAATCCATGAAAGTTTCAACACATTCATAAGATAAAGTATGTCTAATGAAAAAGGTATATAAATATTATTTCTCATAAAAAAATTGTGTTGATCCATACACTTTTCAATAAGTTATAGCATTATAAAGTTAAAAATGTAAAAAATAAAATACAGAATTTTCACACGAAAATAGCATTTGGTAGCAGTCAGACATTTTTTTTTTTCATAATAAAAAACATTACACAACATTTAATTTAAGATATATATAAAAGTTTTAGACTTTGCGGAACACTTCAAAAGTTAAATTTTTGTGAAAATCTTGTCATTTTAAATCCTCCCCTGTGGGCAGGTAAAGGGTGAGATTTATAAAAAAAATATAACAAATGATAGGTAAAGATAACAAGCATCTATATAAAAAAAATTATATTGATTTGTTCATTTTTAAAAAAGTTATGGCAGTTTTAATTTTAAAAAATTTTAAAAATGTCGAAACTTAACGATTTTTAAATCTGTAATTTTTTTGAAGGTTTCCTCATTTACGGGGAACGAGGAAAATGTTTTCAATTCTTGAGGGTAATGTCTTCGAGTAGATACGATTTGTGATCTTTTGACGTATCGTTGAAAAAATCTATTGGGTGAGAGCTGAGAAAATATGGTAAAAGACACAAAATAAATAAATAAATAATTTGTTTTTGTACAAGTAATATAAATTATAAATTTTTATTAATAAAATTAAGATGAATAATGCAAAGCATTAGATATATAACTACAGTTGTTTTAAATTTATAAAATAAAAAATAATTAAATTATACTTTTTAATGAAAAATTTTAACTGATAAATAAAATACTATCTGTAATAAAAACTTTTGTTATGATTACTTTTAAAGAATAACTGGTTTAAACTATATATTTGAGTTAAAGGAACATGCAGATGCCGCGAACCGTTACTTTGCATCTCTTGGTCTTGTATGATAAATAGCTGAGGAAGTATTGAATTATGTCTATTTTAGTATAATATAAGGTACAACAGTAGTAAGCAATTTTTGAACTCTTAAGCAATATAATAATTCCATATAAAAGGGAAATACTGGTCCTTTAGTTAATCTTAATAATTAGTGTGCTGTGCGTGTCCTTTAGTGGGTATAGTAAAAAGGTAGTTGTGCTGGTGGCTGACAAGGAGCCACCCTTTAGTCTGCTACTTTTGAGCTAGACCGTGCTGACGGGTCTAAACTCTACCCCTTTAGTAGTTCACTAATTTGAGGGATTGGGGCTGATTAGTTTATCGAACGAGAGGACTCGAGAAGAGCTTGAACAATGAACTCGTCGTATATATATATATATATAAACATTAATTAATTTATGTAAAACTTTTGTGTCTACGTTGGGACACTACCGACGAACGACAGTCTCAAATAAAGTTTTATTCTCACGCGCAGTCGGAATTTCGGCAGCTTTTGGAAAATTTCCGTAAAATCAGTTAAAAAACATCTAACAAGATTGTTTGGTGCGGCTTCAGTAAATTACGAAAAATTATACACCACTCTTATGCAAATTAAGGTGTGTTTGAATTCTGGATCAATAACGCCACTGCTTACTTACTACTTACTTACTGTCTGATTTAAATGCATTTACCGCCACTCATTTTTTAATCGGAATTTGTTTACAGAAATACCTGAACCTGACTTAATAAAAAAAATTCCCAATCGGTTGAGAAGGTGACAGAGGATGAGGTAGTTGACACAGCAAGTTTGAAATCTATGCAATCTGAATACTTATCTACACCTTCAATATCGTGTCAAATTGAAAAAATCATTGAGAGCCGTTCCAAAATTAGATGATTTAGTTCTAATGAAGGAAAATAACTTATCTCCACTACAATGGACACTTGTAGAATTTCAGAGATTGTATTTGGAAATGAAAACGATGCCAGGGTAGCCATGATGAAAACAGATAAAGGGCAGTTCAAAAGAGCAGTCAGAAATTTATGTCTTTTGCCGATCAAAGAGGAAGAGCCATGTCGGTAAATTGTTTGTTTTTGTATATATGTTGTGTCAAAAATTGTTCTTAGTTACTCAAATAAGTATTCATTTCTTCTTCTTCAAAAAAAAAATGTGGTTATAAAATGAAAGAATCTGTTCATTTTCTTCTGTTGTAATAGTAATTTATTATTATTATTTTGACTTATTTATTTATTTTTTTTCAAATGCAATTTTTCATAATTTGAATTATTTAATTATTAGTTTTTTTGATTCTACATGTATTTTAAAATTATGGCCGGTATATTGACGATCTGTATGTATTATTAATCTTACTATTTTTTTTTGTTATCGAATAACAGACGGCCAAACTTGTACGCGTGTTAATGTTAGTGTACGTTCTACCCCAATAACGAAGGTGACACGCTCCTAGTTTTCAAAGCTAATTTTAATGGTTAAATAATTAAATATGTATGTAATAATATGTATGTACATAAAATTACTAGATTAAAAAAATATGTATACATATATATTTTCTCAATTATGTGACTTAAGTTATTCTAACTGTAGTAGTAATTATTAAATCCTATCTAATTAATTCTTATCTAACAAATGGTGTAGAAATCTAGATTGTTGTTAACTTATAAACGATATTTCTCTTCATTTGATTATAATTGTTATTTCTATCAATTTTAGAATATATTCTTTCAATATCTATGTAATCCACTTTTTTTAGTGCTAATTTACCAAACTCATAACTGTTTTTTTTCTATTGGTTTTGTTCATAACCGTTCCTACGGACATATTAGTAATAAGATTCTTTAGTTACTTTGTTTATCTATTGGTAAAGTTGGTCCGATTTCTTGTTTCTGAAAACAGACTTCAATTCATCATAATTTTAATTAATGATCGTTTATATTTTTGATACTTTTTTCCTAAATCACATAAATAATGGTTTAATTTTTGAACATTTCTATTTTTTTCAAATAAATTTTGGAGATTGAAGAAGTAAAATTTTTAAAAATTATTTTGAATGAGATTCAATTGACATAATATTGGTTCAGACTTATTTTCAAAATTTTCTTTGTATCAATATACTGATACAATAATAATTTACTATGAAGAGTCTATAGATTCTTTATAGTATTGAGACAACATTTTATATTTAAAATTCATTGATTTCAAATGGGAATTGTTATATCTAACATGCTTCTTAGCATATCACACTCTTAAAAAGTAAATTCTAAACTTACACATAAATATACAGAAAGATTTATGGCAAAATTATACTATTTGTGTGAATAATTTTATTATTATAATTCTTGATAGCGACACAAACTATATAATATATATATATATATAGTCTATATAGACTATATAGTCTGTGTCTATTATATTATAATATAATTTCCGATACTCTGCGATAGCAATAGCGACTGTTTCGTTATTTGCCCGACCAATAGTCAGTCGTCCGTCGGATTCCGTTTATGCGAAAGTTGTTTTATTATTATTATATTTTTTTAACATTTTGCGCCGATTTGAAGTTGAGAGTTTTCTTACGAGTCTCAATTTATAAACCGAAAACTTGTGTAGTTCTTAAATTTTATTCTTGTTCCTTAATAATTTAGTCAGAGGTTTAACACTTGTGTTTCATTAACGTGTATATTAAACATATAATGATGTATGGAAAGTTTTGGAGAATCTCTTACAATGTATTTCACCAATTAATTCGTTGATAAAAATGAAAAATTATATCAATCAATTAATGCTGAAATATTTAATTTCTAATTATACAATATTTATAATTATAACCACTTGAGAAAGTTATTGAAAGAAGGATTTTATTTATAAACTAATTTTCGTTGACCTAGGATCTTTTTTCATTTAAAATTGCAGTAGAAACAAAATACACTGACAAATAAATTAGGGTTAAATAGATAGTTAAACTTTTTTATCAGACAATATTTTTAATATGTAATTAATTTGACGAATTTTAATTTTAAAAGCTATTTCATAGAGACAGTTTCAGAACAATAATTAAACAAAATGATATTTTTAGTTAATTGACATTTATCAATAAAATTTTTAATATGTGTATATAATTAAGTTAATTTTTTTTTTTTATTGAAATAATATGTATTTATAGAGAATCAAATTAAGTTTTTGTAAATTTAAGCGGTTATTAATGTTATAAATATTAATTTAATATTGAATTTATAAATAGAATGTTAATTTGAATAAATGTTAACTTTTAAGGAGTTTTATTTAAAAATATGATATGAGGATATAAGATATAAAAAAAACATAATCATTACGCACATTACCAGAAGATATAATTATAACGCAATTAGAGTTAAAGTATCAGCCGGCCGCTCAATGTAATGGTTTGTGCGTAACGTTAATGAGCACATTTTAAAAAGTCGACAAGTCGTTGGAACGATTACTTGGAAAACTGTATTATAAATAATATAGCAGAACACAAAGACTTAATTTAGTAAGGCTGATAATAGTCTAATAGTTTTATTAATTGTTATAAAACAGTATTTGATTTACATAAATGAAAATGGATGAATAAGTACTTAATATATAAAAATATACATGAAACTATTGTATTTGAAATCAGCTTGTATACATTTGTCAAAACAAAATGGTAATATTAAAAGGTCCAAAATTATTATCGTAACATTACACAATAAGCCTCGATTGATCATCAATAGATTTTTCTTAGTAACAAATCGATTACAGTGTATAACTAAATTCGTGATGTGTTCTAGAAAAAAATATACTTTATAAAAGTCAATGTCAGATGTATCTTATCGGAATGCCTTAATGTGTGTTTTATTACAAAAGTGAAATTACAATAGTAAAACGTGATTTAATATTTAATTTTCAACTAAACTTGTTAAAATCTTTCAACAATAAGATACAAAAAAAATTTCGTAAGCGTAGCGAACTACTTGATGTTATTAGACAACGGAATTAAAAGAAATATGTTATATGAATTTTAAATCATTATTATAAGTACAAGTGTATCAGTACCCATGCATTCGCAATTTTTTATCGGCATTATTTATGTACAAAGTTTCAATAGTTGTATGACGAATAAAGTTTTAGAATATGATACTTTCTCAAAGACCCTCATAGAAATAAATTCATTTGATATTAACTTTTTCACAAAAATTTTCTAGATTACATCACAAGTATAAACTGTCATTTGATAAAATAGTATGTCTATTGAAGCTTAATAATCGCACAGATTTAGGTTGTAATTATTTTTACTCTAATATATTCAAAAGTAACAGCTTATAACCAAAAATAAAAATTGGGTCAACCAAATTTATAGACATATAAAGTGCTACCCCATTAAAAACAATATCATAGACACTATACATTAAATAAAATAATAATTACGTGCTTATGAAAATCATTTAAAAAATTGCACATTAAATATTTTATATATAAATATATGTCTCTATACAAAAAAAAAAATATATCTAAACAAAATAAATCATTTACGTCTCGAATTATGTCTATCGTAATACAATTAATTAAAATTTGGCGAATTTAACTATTCATTTATATAATATATTTATATATAATATTTAAATTAACAACAAAATAATAATAATAACATAAAAATACTATGTACATGATTCGATAATTGTAACTAAAATAATTAATTTAACATAAATGTAGGTACACACACAAAATGTCGAATATGATAAATCCATATTTTCAAAAACCCTAGGATATTATTTTCCTAGTCGATTAATAATAAAATTTAACAGGGTCAATAATAAAACGTTTACAGAATAAAAACGCATCAACAGCACGTGCGATAGTTTATAAAAATATACATTATAATTTTGGCACTTAAAACGATGAAGAATATGATAACGATGAGATTAAAAGTTAATAAATTTTGATTTTATATAATACAATTTAAGGCTATCAAGGCAACATCAATTTAATACGATAAAAATATAATAATAATATACTAATGATTAAAATTGGTGTTTTTAATATTAATTCGTCAGTCGTTTCTCTTGTAAAGAAAATGAAAGGAATCACATTTTCTTTTGACCACGACTTGATATTTTTTCCTATAAAATAATAAATAAAAATATAATTAATATACAATGATTGAGGAACTACTTAAAATGATTTAACGAAATATAATTATTTATTAAATATATTTTAATTGATCATTGAAATAAGAAAATTTCTTTTTTGATGTTTGAATAAAATTTATTGTTAGTATGTAATATTATTAAAAAATATATAACTGATTAGCATACTCCTTAAGTAATCGATAGTACTTTTCGAATTGCTTGTCTCTTATAACATGTCGTAGACGTTAAAAGAAAGGATATATAAAAGAGCTACTATGGCACAAGGTTCTCACGAAATTATCTTCTCTCAGAGAAATACGAATACACAGTTTCAATTTTTATTTATTAAAACAAGTCATAGAAATAAAACTAACAAATATTTAAAATTGTTAAAAGTAGACATATGATCACTAAATATACTGAGCACTCGCTGACAATTTAGTTAATATATTCATATTTAGTAAAATATTATGTAATAACTCTAATGATCTTTTTAAAAAATGTTGTTGAAATTAAATCTATACTTACAAAAAACTCATGTGGTAATCATTACGGACTAGCTGTCGATATTAAACTAAAATAAAACTTCTTAAACGTATAATATTTGCACCTGTAATAAAAAATATAAAATTATATAATATTGTACAATATATTACTTATTATAAAAAAAGGTAATAGATACATTTATCTAATTAAGTTGTCTGTAGTATATAACTATCCTTGCTTGAATTAAAAAAATTGAAAATAATTTTTTTTTCAAATTGGTTATGCCATAACTACACAATTGTAGGTTTTCTTTTTAATGCAATGTAAAACATAACAATATACTAACCATTAGTCGTTTATATGTACAAAGATTACCCTGATGGTAAGTATTAATCTATTTGGATTTCATCTGTTGAATCTGAAACAAATTAAAATCAAATAATTTTAATTTAAAAATTATTTTTAGAAAATTTAGAGGACATATTGGTAAACTTGGTTAAAAATACTACAGCGGAATGCCCGACGCTCAAATGTACCGAGATTGCCTATCCGAAACGCCTAAATAAAAGTGAATTGGCCCAGTGGAATTTAATAATATAATGTGTTGTATTTGCCTCCTCTCTATAAAATATAGAACATGTCTGTACCTACAATTTGCGTTGCCTGAACTCCTATCAGTTTCTGCAACTTTTGCAACTGTTCAACTAAGGATCCGTTGCTCTCTTCGAGATTGAGAATTTTCCTTTTGTATTCGCTGTTCTCAGAAACTAATATTTCTACCTTCCTTTCCAATGAATCCATATACTCTTTCTTTTTGCGCCGACTTTCTTGGGCGGATATCTACACAAAATACACGGATATATAAAAAATGACGAAAAAATTGTATAAATTGTAAATGGGTCTTTCAAACGGTCGACGAAAAAGCTTAACGATATGGTTACCTTGTTTTTAATTTTCCTTCTGATTTTTTTCAGTGACTTTTCCTCGGCTTTTGTTAAAGGAAGTCTGGTGGGTATGGGATAACCCTCTGCTAGCAATGTGCGTTTTTCCTCTTCGGTCAATACTAGGGCCCCAGTCGAGCCTTTTGGCTGACAGCTGATCAAAGGGGTCTGAATAGGCTGCCGGCTACTGGTGGTTCCATTAATGGACGAGGACGAAGAAGACGATGACAAGAACAGCCGCCGCGTGGGCGACGACCTGTGGTGTGGCGATATGTTACCGCCTTCGCTATCGCTGGATGTCGACGATGGTGGTGTGGGTGGAAGTGTGAAACCTGTCATTGAATAGCATCAACATTAGTAATAACTGTATTTGTATCAAAAAAAATTTGAATTCAGTAGAGATGCCAATTAAAAATGACATACCTGTACCTTCCATTTTGATGCCAAAGTTTGGCAAGATTATTTTGTGTGACTGGTTGAGGAATGCTCTGGAGGTCAACACGACCGTGGTAGGGTTATCGTAACCGGTTTTCTGTATCTGTAACAAGATTACAATTAATAATATAATGAAATGTTACACGGCTTTCGCTAGTGAAGTTTGCAACAACAATGTTATACCGTTTATCAAAATGGGAAACGTGTAATTTGAAATAAATCTTAATTGAGTTGAAAAGAGTACTGCAAGGAAATTTAATTATACACGTTTAGCATGTGTGAGAAAAATGAGCTGCACTCAGAGCATAAATGCATAATACAAAATAAGTTAAAGTAATGATTTGCTGGAAATACTAGAGTGAGATATTCATTTAAGTTGATTTATGAACAGTTAAAACACAAATAAGTCTAATAAAGTCAATATTTGCATAGATAGTAAATATTTCATATAATTTAATGCACTTATTATGAGGTAACAAGTAACTAGCTATGAAAAATACAGTCTATTAGAAAGTAATTAAAGTTTCCATTTAATATGTACTTTAATCATCGTCTAATAATGCTAAACTTAAAATGCATTGGTTTGCTTAGAAGTACACTAAGAAATAAAGGCGTATGTTACCGATATGAATGATAAATATTTCAGAGGATGTCAAAGAGAACAGTCGCGCGTGACCAAAATGAAACAGAAATGGCTTAAAATACGAATACTCCTAATGTCTTGGTGAATAGTTTGAGTTTCTACGGATTTCATTCCTTTAAGCGGGTAAAAATATAAAGTCATAAATAAATAAAAACATACACTGCGATCAGTGAAAAATGTTAAATTGGAAGAAGCGGCTGAAGTTATTTTTCCGATGAGAAACGGACAGGGTAACAATCGTCTAATTTTCTCCTGTTCACCACAAATTAAAACGGCTAGACATTCGATCACAATAAATATGTTTGACATTATTGTGCCGTATCTGCGATTTCTAAAACGAACAGCCGCCGATGAATCACTTATTAGAGGGATAGCCAATTAGTCATGTAGGACACGGAGACAACGTCTAGAGAACAGGTGGTGATTGTGATGTGGCTGATACATTGTCGTAGGCTAGCCGTGACACTGGCAAGTACTTAACCGCGCGTACTCGTACACAATACCGTTTGCGCCGACGAGAAAATTGTTTGCATTAACACCGTTGGCACATAATTGAAATAATTAATATAAAACGCTATAGCTCCAATGCTGTCCGATGGCCAACGCTTCTAGGAAATGGCGATTTCTATTATGGCAGAATCTCTCCGTCGAAGTTACAACCGATGCTGCCGACGACCTTTTCTTAGACGACAAGTCCGATGAAAACAATATCGTCTGCACGATTCGGACGGCGTAGCAATTAACAAATAAAAATCCTCGTTAATTTTTTTATTATTTTTGGATGTTCAGCGAGAAGGAAAAAAATTGTTATTCTAACAATTAACGGTCAAGGTTGTAAAACGCGTTCGAGCCGTACGAAGGACGTCTCACATACTAAAGCGACGTGGGCGAAATTCACAACTCCCGTACCTACAAGAGTTCACGTTGGGGTAATCGTAAATGAATTCGGTTTGAAACTACTGTGAACTGCACACGGTGGAAACCGCGCAATGATAAAGCAGCAACCGACGGCCGAACGGCATAAATAATAATTATCAATTACCTTGTTGTAGTGTGTAGGTACGTCGGCGACCGAGCAAGGAGACGGTGGACACGAAGACGTTTCTAAATATTCTTGATCACTCATCGGTTCGTCTTTAACGGATGTGTCGTCTTTAATGCTTATCATTTCTATGTTTCCTGTCCGGTCGCATCTCACCTCGTCGAACGTCAGCTTGCACGTCCTGTCCTGACTACTGTCATCGTCGACGTCTGTGAAAAAAATAAAAAAACAAATACGTTGTTAATAAAAGATAGCTAAGTGTGCTTCATTTTAACACCGCCAGGTCTAATTTAACGAAGACGTACAATCTAGACGAGCTGCAAATGCGCACTCACTATCACTGTACGCACTTAATGATTCAATGCGACTTGCGGCCCAACACCCGTTGAAAATCATTATGATAATTATATTATAATAACTTTCGGTTATTATACAACACAGCTCGGAGAAAAATATACATTTGTATACAAATGACAGACGAACGTAAAGTTGTTATTGTTGTGACAAGGCATTACGATAAGTCATTAAAGTTGTATGATTTCAAATTTCGCCTAATAGAAATTGTATTAACAAAATCAGTACATCAAATGCATACCAGTTATTTTAAGATTATGGCACCGCTTAGCACTATATAGTCAATGGGTTATGTAAAAAAATATCATTAAATTAACAATTATTCGATTGAGTGTTAACATTAAAAAAAAATGTAATATTTCACGAGTCCACTTTTGGTGACACACTGATTGGAGGTATCTACTCGATAACGTTAACGACCTTACATTATTTAACTTCTTGACCTCGAAACCGGGGGATATGATTGGTTTATTGAAATAATTTAAACATTTTATTACATTAATAAAAACTTAGGACCCGCTGTTTGTAATTAACATATACGATTGGAGTTACCAAATCTTTATTATTTCCTAACTCCACAAGCAGTTTAGATATTTTTTATGAAAACGATAGATTGCTAAAAATGTGTACAACGTTTTCGACCATACTTTATCATCGAGTTATTATAATTGGCTTTTGGAATATTCTGTTTTCAAGTTAATAGTGCATGACACTGAGCATATTTAAAAAACAGAATAGCAGATCATTATAATTGAACACGTATAAAAAATAAAGGTATTTGCACACTCCCGTTATGCTTTGAATCAACAAAAATACAACATTCAATGGTAAATAAACCACCTACATACGATCATTATATCGTCGTGTTTTTTTTCTAAATTATCGCTGTCGTCGAAATACACTGTTTTGGCTCACAAGCTAAATTATAAAACCGTTTAATCATTCAAATTACAAACGAATAGTAAAAAATGTTATAGCGCATTTGGCACCAGACAGTGTTCTTGTGGATCCAGTCAAATACGCTAATTCGGACTTCGTGACGAGAAGTGGCTGATGGAAGTTTGGTGATAAGATTATCCCTTAAAAATCCTTTACCACCTTGACCGCCTTCGTGTACTACCACTGTGCGTAAAACAAATAAAAAAGAGGAAAACATTTCCGATCTAGCGTTTACACAGCAGTGAAATCGACACTGTCACGCTAAACTGACTAGTTTAGGAGCGCTGAGTTTATCACAATGAGAAAAAGAGACTCGCACCAAAAAGTCCATTCTTCTGGTGAACCATTTGAAAACTTTTAAATCGATAACTCAACGCCAAGTTCTTACAATCGAACTATCAGATAGATTTAAATCCGTTCAGCTGTTCTGAGTTTTTCTCTGTCGTCATTGTCGAACGTTACATTTTTTTCTACTCGGATGCCGCTGAACATAAATTTTATTTTTTTGCCGAACATACGTCACTCCGACGTGTTTTCGTGCAATAATAATAATTATAATTGTGTCATATAACAATAATATGTGTACTTCGCGCCGTCTATTCTGTCCCCATTAACGAACAAATGCGCCATATGCGCGTGCACGTTATTGCCGCCGGTATATGTACCTAAATGTACCCAGTGCCTACACCACTGCAGTGTGTTTGCGCCACTCGGATGACGACAAGAGGGAGAGGCGGCCGTCTGTGCGTAAATGACAAGTACATACGTATGTGTTGTGACATTTCCATCGAAATTAAACGCGCACAATAACTAAATGTTTACCCACGAACTTTGTCGTCTCCTCCTCTTACCCACTCGCCGATAATAAGCGAAAAAATAAAATGGAAAAAATTAAAAAGAAACGATTTTGCGCGCGATCACAGTGCACATAATCTAATTATCCCCTCCCCCCCCCAAAAAAAAAAAAGAATAAACGGTAGCCGTTTACGGTCAAGAAAGTTGATTATAATACGAGTTACAACAATAATAAAATAATAAATCCGTCGCGTTTGACATCCGGTTTGTGTGAGTTTATAAACGACATGGCCATAGTGTCTCGGTTTTTTAATCCTTCTCTCTGCCATCCATAATAATTATTTTATTATCAACGACTGCCATTTCGCTTTAGTGGAACGTATAACGGTTTTTGTGTGCGTCGCGCTTGTATTACTCATGACGCGCTCCCTTCCATAACACGCGCTGTAATATATATTATGTACATATAATCGTTCTGAGAAGGCTTAAACGTGCTAATAGGCGTACAAACTCGTATGTATTAGCTCCGATATTCGTTACTATCGTAATACGGGTACCACCTATGACAGTTAAGTGAGCACGTTTATTTAACACTGCGATTGTTAAACTGGCCAAGCCGCGATTAGTGTGTGCTCTCAGCCTCCCGTGTTTCACCAGGTAACTCATATCTATACCGGCCAGTCGCTCTGTTTAGCCACAAGTGCAAACAGGCGATTAGAAGTGCGACACGAAGAAGAATGCGTTTTTATTTTCCTAAAGTGATACGGTGATACGTCTATAACAATAACTATTTTTGTTGTTGCAATGACTCACCTATGGTATTCAACGATTCTCTAGATCCGTGTGTAGTACAATACGAGTGCTCGGCCTTGATTGGGGCATTGCCCAAGAGCGCGTCGGTCATCAGACGATCGTGTAGCACCACGTGTGAATTCGATCGGCCGTTGCCGCCGATCAACCAATCGGACGGGTCCTCTGTGGCTCTGAGAGCTTCGCCCAAATCATGCTGAAAAAATAAAAACAAACAACAGTCGGTTAAAAATAACGTTGAACGCGTTTTGATTAATTATGGCGGAAAATAATTATAACAGTCAACGAAACCCCGAGGTACTCATTCGAGTTCACTGCACATAACAAAACAACGGCAAATGGTATTCTATCCTAGCCGTTCGTTAATACAACTATTGTTGCTCTTAAGCCGCATTAAAACAGTTGCATTAAGACGTATCGTTAATACCAACCCACCGGGTTGGTGATTAGGTGAGGTTAGGACACGCATGGAGTGTCGCACGCACGTGTTGGTTATATGTTCGACGGTAATACACACAAGAAGGTTGATTTTTTTATTTTCCCGAGTGGCTCGGCAGAAGCCATTATTGTAGTACCGGATGCGACTTAAGTGCCGTCAACGGAGGCGGTCAGTCACACGCGAATAACTACAAAAACTTTTGTAATAACATTATAAGCTCCGGGCCAATCTGTCATTGAGTTTCTTTCAAAACGACTGTGTGTGTGTGTGACGAGTGAAAACACATTAGCCCATCGAGTTCCGTGTACGATTCAATATGTTAATTCGTTATCGGTTCAATAATAAAAGGAACAACATCAATATAAGCATTCGAGTGTACTCATTCACAGGTTGTCGGAATTTGAAAATAATTCACCCGGTGAAAGAAGCAGTACTGCGTCGCCATTAGTAGAACTTATTTGGATAAAATTTTACCCTTGAGCAAAAATATTTCACTAGTCGTGTTATGAAAACACGAGCAATCCGACCGAAACTATAAACAGTAGTCGTATTACCGATGTCGAAACATATTATTTCTACTCGTGTCCCTCTAGAGGACACGCCGTTTCTATTATTACAGTAAACCGAATATGTAAATAAATAGTTTTGTTGTCTGTTCGCAATTGTTAAACGAACACGTCGCGGCGATTCACAATGTTTTTCGGTCAAACGATTCATTTAAGCATTCGTCATAGAAATGCATAAATCCGACAACACTATTTTAATTCATATCAATAGACACTGTATATGAAATGCGTTACAATGGGGTTTTAAAATTAATGTAAAAACGGTCGAGATGTTGCCGATCTATTAACCGCGCAGCTATTATGTGGCGTATTCTCCTTACAAGCGTTTTCTCGTGTCGAGACCAAAAAAAAAAACGAATATTTTTCAATATATTTTTTTTTTTCGACGGATATCGTGTGTACGTAATTCGTTCAGTCGTCTATAATCGCCACGGTAAAACCTCCTGGTAGTTTTTTTTTTTTCTTCTTTAATTTCAATACGCCATTGTGCCGTTGCACTGGCGGTAATCGCCAGATAAATTCATAGGAAAAGTAATCGTATAATGAAATCTCTTCTCCGGCGTGGTGAATATTTATTTGGCAAGTGTCCCCCGTGAATTAATTTCGAGAAGTCGTCTATGAGGAGACAACGATAAAGTTCTACAGTGTCGTTGTGTGCTTAATGTATGCGCGCGAGAACGAAAAAGAAAAAAAAACTCTCATAGTGATGTATAGTGTATAATAATTGGCACCCTACAGGTTTTGGAATTCTTCCATGCGCGGCCAACCCACAACGAAAACTATACTACGTACACCTATGGAGTAATACGTACGAAAATGCATTAAGTATTCCTTATTAATTTTTATGTAATCCTTTGCACCGCACCTCGCCGCCGCCGCCATTACTATGCGGCAGGACGAACGAAACCCGTTTGCAGTGTGTGAATTGCGTCAACAGTGTAATTACAAAATCAACACGGAAATTCCTTCACACAGAAACACCGTGATGACTAATTGAACACCGTTCAAAGATAATGCTGCACTCCACCCCCACCGGTGGTGTCTACCGTCGAATCTTTTTCCCTTTTCAAATGCGCCCCTCACTCCCCTCGCCCGCAACCAGTGGCACGCGCAACGCATTTCAAACTGTCGCGTGCAAGCGCAGCACACGGTATGGCGAACTTTCACCGCGGTCGTGTATTATACTTCTTGTACGCGAGAGCACTGCGAAAAATGTAACAGCACGCCCACGCCGAGCACAATATTCACAAACGCAAGCCACGCCCTTGCCGAATATCCACTCGATTGACCGGTTATCTTATTTTTTCCTGTTCAATAACCTTTCTCGATTAGAACCGCGTCGAATAAAATACCCATACGAATAATGTTATAACAATGCACAGACGTCAGATGGTGTTCAGATAAACGGGCCGCGATTAATCACATAATCGTGTTTCGTTTGCTCTCCAAAAGCTATTGGTTGTGCCGGACAGGACAGGAAAACCCGACTAGCCCAGCGCAACGGAACCGAACACCAGTCGCCGAGTGACCGGCGGTGGTACCCAGCGATCAAATGTTATTTCTAAAAAAAACAAACGTTTCAAAATGCCTACTTACATGTATCGGAATTGTTGTTATTGTTTTTTGCTTGCGTGTGCGATTAATGTCAAAGGGAGACTATAAAACGAACATAACAAAACGTCGCATATAAACGGCGTATAAATATAGATGTCGGCCACCTAACCAAACACGAACACTGATGAAGCGACCAAGGTTTACAGAGCTTTTAACGTTTTATTTGTTTTTGCGCCTATAATCGCAAAATGCACGTGCTGCGGGTAGAGATATTGTTGCGGTGGAAATAAGCGCGCGGCCACAACAGCCGAGACGAGCAATACGGTTTAATTGAACGCGCGCGTGAGAACGCACCGGCGACACATGCGAGCGGAGGAGGTGGCGGTACATCTTTAAGTCGCATATCCGGCAATGGATTTTTTTTTTTTCACATTTATTCATGTACAATAAAATAAATTGTGCGTTTGCGCGCCTTATCTGTAACGGAAACAAAACCGGTAGTTATCACAGAAGCTCCACGCCGCAGTGCAACATTATAAACGTATCTGTTCATAGAATTCAAATGTTAACGGGACTCTAGTCCACAAGACGATCGAAATTATTGTTGAAAACCAACTGGTTTACTGTAACGCAATCGTTGTGTATAAAAAAAAAAAAAACAGCCCAATGAAATATTAAACTTTCTGGTAGCTGATCCGTTCCGTAATACGGATCCTAAATTTACTGCTGCGATTCTTATTATTTTATCAATGTCACACTTGGTCACATGTGCAACACGAGCTTACGGGAACGATTAAATCGTAACGTAATGTGCATAAAACGATTATAAACGCATAGACTGATAATTGGAAATTAATTTTTTACTCGTAGTGTGTTGCCTAGCGCTTCTACAAATTCTAAACTTTCCTCGTGTAAGACCTGAACCGACCAATGCGTTACCGTAATTAATTAACTGCTGCCAGTCCATACGAAGAAATCGCAGTAATTTTACAGTTAACTATACTAATTATATTTGCTACTGTCCTACTAAACGAGAATATTACTAGCCGATTATTATTTTGCTACTCAATTAACATCATAAATGTAACTTAATATTGTTTACAATACTATTTCGATTCATTTAAAGAAGTTTTTCCAGAGAACAATTTCAGTCTTATAATTGATTACATTGTTTTATAATAAAATACTTAAATATAAAGTCGAGAAAGATTTAAAAATGTACACATTTTGCCGGATAGAAAAAATATATTTTTAAATTCCAGAATATGTCAAATAGTTGTAGGACTGTCATTTCTCATATTAAGATCATTAATATCAATGTGACAATGTTCGAATGGTTTCAATGGTATTGCAACAACATACAATAAATAGCTAATAGTTTTTTTAATTTTTTGTAATTTTCAACTACATATATTGTATTGAAAGAAAACTGCAAAAAAAATATATATACTTAAGAATGTATTACACAAATTTTTTGAAGGTGAAACATGAAGTCATAACTTGTTGTTAAATTTTTTTGATGTTACAAAAAAATGCAATTTTTAAAACTACAAAATTCTTTTGATTTTTTGTTTTAGGAAAATTCAGAAAAACAAACCTGTACATATTTTAGTAAATCTTAGATAATTCTTATTTTAACAACAAAAATTAAAAAAAATTTTATAAATAATCAAAATAAATTAAAAATAAACAAACTGTTTTTACTGGACTTATATATAAATATGTGTATTCGAGCAATACATTAACATTTGTAAACGTTTACATCTAAGTACCAAAATTATAGAAATTTTGTAAAATACTCCAAAATATCTCTGGACAATTTCTCTTAAACGATTAAAAACAATTGGAAATTTGGCGTCTAATAGCTACATTATAATTAATCACATCAAATTATCACTTTCTTTTAGTTGGAGTAAAGATTACCAGAGAACTATTTAATAACAGATTTTAAGTGTTGATGTGCTATACTTACGTCCAACAACATTTTTACTAAATATCGACGACTTCTATATTGGTATTTTTATTACACATTTTATTTACCTATGTCTGTTCAAATTACTAAGAGATATACCTTAAGTATACATTAAAAAGACAAATGCACATATAATTTAGCTGAAATAATTGGCATGGAGTTAATAATACATAGTTTCCAAGCAGTTTATTTGCTGTTAAAACACTACAGTTAACAAATTTAAAACATAACACGCAAATTTTAACCATTCAAAACAACGATTATTGACATTTATATTAAGCGTAATAACACCCTACACATAAAATAAGCGGTTCGGAGAAAAAAAAACTAATACTTGAAATATCCGAATTAATATTTGAATTATTTGAGCCTAGAGGCAATACAATTGCCAGACCGTTCTAATGAGCCCCTTAATTATAATTCAAAAATCATTATTCGTAGCGCTGGTTTCATTATTTTTGGTCGGTTTGTTATGCGTTTGTAGAAACTTATAAGCAGTGATTTTTTATGTTAATATTAAGATCCCGTGATAAACGCAAAACTAGTAAAATTTCAGGCAGAGTGCGATTTCGTATATTAAGTATATACATCTTAATTAATGAGCAATTAAACTAATAATAAAACGTAAACTACGCATGAATTTCAAAACAAATCGTCTTAATGCG